GAATTTCATTTGGGACCGGAGGGAGTATGTCATTTGTGACAATATCATAACTACTCATATTTAAAGCTTAATTATAATAAAGGATCCCACTACAAAAATGATTGATTATAATAATGCGGCACATGACATATGACTCCATATATGTCTCTCTACAATTTCTCTTACCCAAATACACCGGACAGATAGCTCGGCCAGCCCCACGGCCGCCCGGCCCCTCATTCTCGAGGACTTCCCCAACAAATACAGTTGGCAGCGACACACGAATTTTAATTGATATACTACGTATGATGGACAATGGATCCAACCGTAATTCAAGCTACGCACATTAACAAATGCAAATTTTTCATAGTGACAAGCTATAAAGGACCCCACACATGAAATTTTGTGAGGCGGCCAGTTATTTCAAATAGATCTATCATGTCGAGGCAAGGTTACCGATTGATCCCAATGATTCTTCCTATTTTCACGGAGTTGCTCAGCGGTTGAGAAGGGAGAGTACGGTAGTGAAGGTAGCGGGTTCGTGTGGTGGGAGGAGCAGCCTGAAAGGTGATGTAAGTCCTGCTGGATTCGTCCTTTGGAGCCAGTACTGACGAGGCTGACTGTGATCAGATCCGATTAATTGTCTAGGGGCTTTGGAGGGTAGTTCATAGACTCCAGGATTATGGGAGCGTAAGCCCCGACACGTGGATTATCAAAAAAATCAAGGGAAGTCTCTCATCAGACTTTTATTCACCTAACAATTTTTTTGTAATTATTATAGAGCATAATTATTTTCAAACTTTGTTTACAAATATTTATGATTGAAATCGTATAACCTTTCGATGTAAAAATAAATAAATTCGTAGTTTGATTTTTTGTGTTAATTCAGATATATTTGTAAAAAAATTGAAAGCTGTAAAAAAAATTAAACATGAGACCTAAAATTTAGCATTTCAATCTATTTAAGGAAAATTTCAAATCTGAAAATATAGAGTAGTTGAAAATTTATAATTTTTTTTGTAACTTTCTATACTCCGCATGTATTATTAGTGTCATATGAAAGATAATAAAAAGTTAAGAATTTTGATATTTTTTATAAAAATGAAGTATAAATAAAAAAGTTACTACCTCCGTCCCACTAAGATTGGGACGAGAGAAGGTGGTACGATTATTAAGAAAAGTGAGTTTGTGTGGTTGATATTAATTAAATTAATAAAGTAAGAATGATTTAGAGACACACAATCTTTAACAGATTTGGTATAGAATAATCTTAGTGGAACTTCCCGAAAAAGTAAAATATGACAATCTTAGCGGGACAAGGGAGTATTATATTTTTTTAAAAGTGGGATTAATATTTTGTGTGGGTCCCATTATTTTTTGTTACATGCGCACAATATTTGCATCAAACCCTCATCTCCCTTCCGTCAATAGCCTAGCCTAGTCCCCACACTCAAGGTGCCCCCAATTCACTTAGGCCCCGTTTGGTGGAGAGTTTCGGAGGGGAGAGGAGGAAAGTGGTGGATTTGTGTGTGTTTGGTTGAAGGAAATAGGAGAGAAGAGGAGGAAAGTGAAAGGCTTTCAAAATCCTCCACTTCCTCTTATTCTAAACCCCCTAAATTGGGGTATTTCGGAGGAAACGTGTCGATAATCACAAACTATCCATCTCCTACGTGAATGAACAAAACGTTATAATATAAAAGGTAAAAAACAAAAAGTTTTGAAAATTAAAAAATTAAAAAATTTAAAAATATAAAGATTAAAAATTTTAAAAATTATAAAAATAAAAATTTTAAAATTTAAAAATAAAAAAATTTAAAAATAAAAATAAAATATTAAAAATTTCAAACTGAAAAATGAAAAATTATAAAATTAAAAAGGTAAAAAATCAAATAAAATAAAATTATGACTCATGACCATAGGAGTAATATTCACAATAGTTAGACATGTATCTATTTTTTTAAGTAAGCTTTAAAATAAAAGTAAATTGCAAAAATATTTTCATTAAACCTTTCCTCCCATTTCCTCCAAACAAACACAAATTTTTACGTATCAAAATTCTTCCTTCCCCTTCCCTTCCCTTCCCTTCCCTCCTTGATTCTCCATTTCCCTCCCCTCATTTGAACCAAACAAGGCCTTAAGCAACCGGCCTTTTCAATACAACGACTCGGAGCATTTTATGGGGTGAAAAGCTCAAATTTGCCTTTTGACCCCTCCCATTGCAGCCAGCCTAAGACCAATTGCAACCATTTACACTGAAAGCTAGGTAAATGCACCATAGACGGAGATACCACTTCCCTACACGAGCAAGCGCAAAATCAAAACTGAGGCCTGAGGGAAAGGAAAAGGACAAGCGCAAGACAAAAGGGAAGAGATGCACGGAGTGGGGTCTAGGGCGGATTCATTACTTTTGTATTAACGGATTCTCCTCATTTATGAAAAATTTATATTTAAAATTTATTTTTAATAATAACATAAATAAAATATTATATGAAAAATAGTTAAAATGGTCATTTACAGTAATTTCAGTCAATACAGCAAAAATAAATCCAATTTTACTTTTTCTTATTATTACACAATTCAGCGCGCGGAATCAAAAGTTACGTGTTGAGTTAAAAAGTTGGTTGTAAGGCGAAAAACAGAATTACCAAACGGGCTTATAGAAATGAGAAAATTATTTAGTTCACTGAAACAATGTCATACTTTCCCAAATGAAAGTCCCTAAATTAAAGTCTTACTTCCTTAACTTCCTTATTGGTAAATAAATCTATATATAACAGTGTCAAACAATGCATAACAATGTCAAACAATGTGAAAACAGTGTCAAACAGTGTTACTACAGTGTCAGTTAAATTTTTTTCTTTAATATGTGTGAAGTCAAACTAGAACATTGTTGGGGTTAGGACACCAATATTACTAAAAATTAACTAGTGGACAAAAAGTGTCATTTTTAAAAACTTTCCAGAAATGTGACTAAAAAGGGATGAACGGACTATTTTGCCCTTACTAAGGCCCGCAGATCTGCTACAATGACCAATGTGTTACAGTGACCTAATTCACCAATGCATTACAGTGACCTATGCCATAGTGACTATATTCCTTGTGACTGATGACAGAGTGACTATATACCCAGTTACCAATGCCACAATTACCAACACTTAGTGATCCAGCTCTAGTGACATCCCGACTACAGTGACATCCGGCTGTAGACCACCCCGATCTCAGTGACCAATCCATTAGTGACATCCTGCCAATTGTCACGGCCACCTCACCAATGCCCCTAGTGCCCAACAACCCCCGCTGCTACCCCATCAATCCAATCTGCCCCTACCCAACCACTCAACCAGCTCTGCCCTGCCTAACCAGCCCTATCCCCTGCCCCACCATAGTGAACTGCTGGCCAGTGACCTCACCGGTTAGTGACCACCACCTGTCACTGTTGCCGACGGCCAGTGACATGTTTTTTTGCCGGTAGCCAACTGCCTTGATTGAGACCACGCTCATGAAACGAATGCCACCTCAGTAGTGGCACGCGGCACACTATCGGTGGCCATCCACATCCTGGCCCCAACTCCTCCGCAGTCTTGCAACCCCAACCCCCAACTCTCCTGCCCCTGCACCACACTCCAGCCCTGCCCCCTGCCCCACCAGTCCACCCCACCCCATCCCCTGTCCCACCAGCCCACCCTGGGCACTCTCTTTCACAGTAGACTCCGCTCACCCAGCCTAGCCGAGCCCCCCAGCCTCACAGACCATAGCCACCATCCCCTAGCCTCACCCCAGATCCCAGATCTGGGCCCTCAACCCCCAGTCTCATTCCAGTTGTCCCACCAGCCCACAGCTTCCAACCCTAGGCTCCAACTGCAACCCCGCCCCTAGCCACGAGTTCGCCGCTGACGACTCAACGTCGTCGCTCGTCTCACGTCGCCATCGCTAGCTTGCCTCGCCGCACTGTCTCTTGCCTCCTCGTCGTCAGATCCAAAGATTTCCGACCATCCATCAACACCAAGAGACCGAGAAGAGGAGAAAGAAGAAATAGAAGAATGGCAAGGTTGTGGAAGTCGGCGGCGGCGTCGATGTGGCGGAGGCAGAGCTTGAACTTGGTGCTTGATCGACGTGGATGGAGCTTTGCCAAATCGCAGAGAGACGGAAAATGTGCAAGGGCTTTTCGCATAGATGGAGATCGGCGTAGAGGGAGGAGGGTGAAGGGCTGGGGCAATTTTGGATTTTCATATGAAATAGCTCTCTTTTTTCCAAATTCAAATGTAGGCCTGTTTTTGTCTTTAGGAAACTCTAGAGTCACATTTCCGTCTTTCTTCCAACATTGTTTCATGGACAGAGGGAGTCATAAATAAGAAAAAACGGAATGATCAAGATTTGTGTACAACAGATAGAATTAATAGGAAGTACAAATTCATGAATTAAAATGGGAATTCCCAGTTTTCTTTGAACTTCACAAAAGAGGAATAGTAAAATTAGAAGGGACGGAGAGAGTAATAATTAACGTAAAAAAATATGTATGAAAAGGAAAAATTACCGAAGTAGTAAGGATGTTTTTAATTTGACTGTAATTCCTCCCAGACCAGACCAGACCAGATCAGACCAGACCAGACAAGTTCAGACCAGACCAGACTTGGATAGTTATAAAAATACAAAGAAACCATACCAGACCAGACCAAACCAGACCAGCAAATTACAGTCCAAGTAAAAACATCCTAAATAGTCCTATAAAAAACATATGGAGTATGAAAATAATGAGGAAATACTCATATACTCCCTCCGTCCCGGAATTATCTCTATTCTTTCCTTTTCGGTCTGTCCCAAATTTATCTCTTTTTTCTCTTTTTGGTAAAGAATATGTGGTTCACAACCATTCTTACACATTTCTCTCTCTTCTGCATAACTCTTCACCACACAAATCCCACTATCTTAAAACTCGTGGCCGATCAAAACCGGAGTTAAATATGGGACGGAGGGAGTAAAAAAAAACATATAGAGTATGAAAATAATGAGGAAAAACAAGACTAACGACAAAAACTAAGACATTATATAATGAAGATTGAAGAAGAGGTCAGGCCGAGACTCATTTGACTTGGGGGCCCAAAAAGGAGGAGAAGAAATGAGTGGCACTCCCAAAGACAGCACTAATGAAGAGGTCCACGATGCACTCTTGGAGTACTCGGGGGCTGAACACATAAGCTCAGAGCTAGAAGACGCACTGTCAGATACAGGGTTGTCGAAACACCGGCGACTACAAAAGGCCACCGCCGTTGAGCTCAAAAATCTTTTCCGGCTGGCAGCTCCGGCCATCATTGTTTACTTGCTCAACAATGTTACTTCCATGTCTACCCAGATTTTCTGTGGGCATCTTGGTAATCTCCAACTTGCTGCTGCTTCCCTTGGCAATAATGGCATCCAACTCTTGGCTTATGGAGTCATGGTATGTTCAATCTTTCTTCAAAGCAATTCACAAAAATAACCTCTATACTGATTTGATTTATATTTTTTTTCATTGATTTAAGTATTCATTTAACACATTACTCTCTAAAGCTTGTACTCCAATTTATGTTAAGTTATTAATAGGGGTGAGATCCGATAAAGTCCAGTTATTGCTAAATTCGAAAATTACTGATAAGATTTTAAGATTATGAAAAGAGGGAACTTGAGTAAGGCTTGTTACATTCGGTACAAGTTGAGTTTTTGGTAGTTCAAATTAGGTTCATGCTTATTTAGGGCATGATAAAGACCGAACGAGAAATTGTCACATTGTCACATTGTCAAATAAAATTATTCACAAATACAAATCATAATGATACAAATAACAATCTCAAACCACCAACAATTTAAATCCAAAACAGCACAATCTATCTTAATATTGCAGTTAAGATACATATGAATGAGCAATATTAATACAGAGTATATTGTATTGATTTTGTATTAAGCATAACCGTTTCAGGGACTTTTAGTGATATTGAGTTCTCGAATTCGATCCAAGTATGTATAATTGGATCACCAAAAGGAAAAAATCCTGATCGGTACTGTCTTTACGGCCGATCTAGGGTCAATTTATGGATTTCGATTTAGGCTATGTTTGACAGGCATAAGTCTCCGCATTCTAGCTTTTGTACTGTTCAAAAAGTCTCTAAAAGCTTATAGTTTTATGTTTGTCGACAATTTTTAAGAGTTTTTCAAGATCTTTTTTGAGATGCTACAGAGAGTAGCATCTAAAAAAAGTTCGTGACTTTTAGTATTAATTAGTCCCAACAACTTCTATACCAAATCGAACTAAATCAAACAGTCAGCTTTTTACCAAACAACTACCACCTTTTTTCTTTAAGATTTTTTCAGTCACTAAAAGCTAACAGTTATTAAAAAACTCACAAAAGTATCTTTTCAGCTAATTGTGCCAAACATGCCCTTAGTTTTTCTCCCCCTTAGCTGTTAGTTAGTTATTAACATTACTTATTTATTTGATATGCTCATTCTTTAAATCGCTGTTCCCTCTGTCCCATTTTGTTTCTTTCTTTTATGTTTTGATAGTCCCAAAATACTAAACAATCAAACAACCATAACAGTTATGAAGAAGCAGATAGAAGATTATGCGATGAAAAATCGAATCTGGTATACCGTGTAAACTGGCCGCTGCTCTCCCTGGAGAAGGAGAGCAGCGGCAAATCCTATCTCTCTATCTCGCCTCTATTCTCTAAAGCCTTTTTCGTTAGTCAGGGTTTCCGTAAGTTAGCCTCATTTTATAGGAGAAGTTAGCTAACTTACGGGTTACAAGGAAGCCCCCGGGCTGATACACATTTGTGGCCCGTATTACACGTTTAATTAATAACTACACGAATACAAAGATATTTAATTAGATTGGACACCATAAAATATTCCTAACAATCTCCCCCTTGGTGTTCAATCGTGTTGAATCAGCATTGCAGCGCAAATATCCTTGTCTTTGTTGTTATTCAGCTTCCTTTTACTTTGAACTTGACTTCTGAGGAAGACTATCTGAAGAAATCCTTGCAATCTCCTCTTTGATGTCTTCTTGACAATTTGATCTTTGATGTCGGGGGTTGCGGGACCTTCTGTATCTTGCATGTAGTCCTTGCCTTCCAGAAGTTGCTCTTGATCAGCTTGGATGAAGTCCGGTGACGCCTCTAGAATGAATATTCTTTGGAGAATAGGAGACGCCCATGGAATTCATCTTCAGGACACGAGTATTTGACCTCTGTCTCCTCCACAATGTAGTCTTTTTGACTATTTGGAATGAATGCATTTGAGGAGAACTTGTCAGTGGTACAACGGAACATAATGATCGTTGATTTGCGAGTGTAGCTGACCATTTGATTTGAGTTGTAGAGATAGCAGAGAAGGTGTTGATTTTCGTGATGGAGGAGTGAAGTGTCCCAGAATGATTTGTTCAGTGTTAACAGCATGTGGACCACTCTTCCTCTCATGACGATCCGATGAATCGGGACGTCATGTTTTTATTCTTTTATTCTGCGGAAATGAACAGGAAACAAACAGAAAGAGTAAATGATAAAAGCCCCCCGAGGTCGTGTAGACACCCGTTTTCATCACTATAGAGATAAACTCTAAAGCAATGGCCTGAAAATGTTGGTGATTCTTATGTTGCAACAACATGACTTCCTTCCAATTATTGGTCTACATCTGTAATAGATGAGCCCTATGGAAGTTCTCGCGGGTCATGTAGACCTGCAACTGACTCTAAAAGCGCGTCTGTGTCCTAGAAAATTTCAAAACATTTGGGAGTGAGTAACTAGACACGACGTGATCAATGAAAGTTCAATGGCATGGGGCTGAGGCCACTGTAATCAATATTACTTGCCTCGGAAGGAGACATTAATGAGAGACGCGGTTCCCCGTGAAGTATGATTAAACACCTGTCTGTTGGGAGACAAGTGAGTGGTCTTGGGTAGGGTTCAACGTGCACTGTTGGACAAGATGCAGTGACTTCTACCCGGGATCTGATTAAATCAGTCCTGAACCTATTTGGGAATTGTCCAGAGTATTTGAGTGGCTAGGAGTAAATGTTCAATGGATAATAGACAGTTGAGGTAGCAGACTCATCATTGATTATTGTTTTTCTTCTCACTTGAGCCTTCTGCTTCCAAACGCTCATAATGTTCACTCGCTCACTCATTCACTTACGCTCGGCTTTGTCCCTTTGGTAGGCTTAGTTAGGTTTACTAAGCCATAGGGACATGTTCTCTCATTACATTCTTCATTTTCTCTCTGCACTCCCCCTCAACTGGAGCACTCGGTATGCTTTGTCATTGTTAGGCACCAGGGAGGATAACATTGAACACTCCCCCTAAAATGTTGGATCCTTTGAGAGATTCCTTGCTTTGTCGGTGAATGGCGCCAGGAGGAAATAACTGAAACTCCCCCTCAGAATGTGCAAGGATTGATTGCTCACAGCTCGTCATACCCGCCATGTGTGTGGAGCAATCTGAACAGGTACCACACATGACGGTTTCCCTGAGCTCATCATGTAGAATTTCAGCATATTGATGATTACATAATGTTGATGAGTCAGAGAAGGCTACAGTGGTTGATTGTTGATTGTTGTAAGATGACCGTTGACGCGAGGTTGATTGAATTATCTACTATTTTCGGACCTTTACATTGGAGCATAGAAAAGCTTTGACCTCAGGGTTGACATTGAAAGAATTTGAACAGATTTGCCTAAGTTTTGATTTGGACATCGGTGATTTACAATGTTTGTCGGAAAACTAACGTTTTGACCCTCAAAGACTGCGAGTGAGGGCGCGTGAGAAAGGGTTCTGGGGCATAGCCTGAGAATTTATGTAGATCTTTTCGTTAGCTTTCCAACAAAAAAGTTTGCTTAAATCGGATCACCGAGTCAAAAGTTACGGCCAAAACAGTGCGGTGTGGCAGAAAATCTCGATTTTTTGAGTTTTTGAGGAATTTCTTCGAAGTTGAGGTTCTCGATATTGAATATCGAGAGCAGGTGGATTTTAAACAAAATTCTAAGGCAATACCTCGAAATCCTAATCTCGAGGTTTAAATCTCGAGATTACAATCTCGAGGTTTAAATCTCGAGATTACAATCTCGAGGTTTAAATCTCGAGATTACAATCTCGAGGTTTAAATCTCGAGATTACAATCTCGTGTTTTAAATCTCGAGATTACATTCTTGAGGTTTAAATCTCGAGATCTTAATCTCGAGTTTGCCTCGAAGAATAATGGCGAAATACACCTGCAAAACAAACCTCAGAATATCGAAATCTGCAGAATTTCAAAATGTTTGGAACATCGAAAACTTTGGAGTTTCGAAAACATTAGAAAATCGAAAACTTGCTGTTTGAAAAACATCAGAACATCAAAAACTTCTAAAAACTTTGATAGACAGAGATTCATTCAGATATCTAAAAATGTAAAGCTCCGAAGTGTTCTGAACAGGAAAGATATCAAGTTTAGAAGAAATAAGTGATCCAAGAAACTCCAAACTTTGAAAAATTCAAAACATCGAGAAATTTTGAAAATCTCGAAATCTTCAGAATGTTGAGATCCAAAACATCGAGATCCCAAATGTCGAGATCCCAAATGTCGAAATCCCAAAACTCGAAATTCCAAAACTCGAAGTTTCAAAACTCGAGATTTCAAAAACTCGAAATTTCAAAACTCGAAATTTCAAAACTCGAGATTTCCGAACTTGAAATTTCAAAAGTCGAGATGAGGAAATCGAGTCTCTAAATGTCGAGATCCTGCAAAATAAAAACTTCGATTTTTGAAAATCTGAAACCTGTTCTGAAAAGCCCTGAAGGTCGAGATTCTCCTGTATCAGTTTCAAGTCAAAAACGTTTCTGCAGCAGTAAAAAATAAGGATTTCGAGATCTCAATGTAGAGATCTTTGAAATATAAAAATTGCAGAAAACGAAAAAAATAAGGTATGCTGCTGGATCGGTTTTGAACGGCGAGTCCAACAATATGATTATTACAAAATTTCGTTCACAAACAAGATTACAGGAGCAAATCTCTACACCAAAGAAAAACAGAAGAAAAGCAGAGCAGTTCTTCGTTAGATCCAAAAAATCGCAGATAGATTCAACCTGTTTCACGTCTCGACTCTGATACTAATTGATAGTCCCAAAATACTAAACAATCAAACAACCATAGCAGTTATGAAGAAGCAGATAGAAGATTATGAGATGAAAAACCGAATCTGGTATACCGTGTAAACTGGCCGCTGCTCTCCCTGGACAAGGAGAGCAGCGGCAAACCCTATCTCTCTATCTCGCCTCTATTCTCTAAAGCCTTTTTCGTTAGTTAGGGTTCCCGTAAGTTAGCCTCCTTTTATAGGAGAAGTTGGCTAACTTACGGGTTACAAGGAAACCCCCGGGCTGATACACATTTGTGGCTCGTATTACACGTTTAATTAATAACTACACGAATACAAAAATATTTAATTAGATTGGACACCATAAAATATTCCTAACATGTTTATCCTAAAATGAATATCTTGTTTCCCCTTTCAACAAAAAGTATGTGCTTTAAATCATTTTACTTTATTCTATTCAAATATTAATCATAATTTTTACTTTTCAATTATTTTATTAATAATGGTGTCAAAATAAAATATGACATTTAATATGACACGAACATAGTACAAAGTACTTGTCTTGCATTTAATGATTCAATTAAATACTTGGTCAATAAAAGAATACAAATATTATAAAAAAAGGAAAATAGTCAAGACATAAGGAGGATATAAGTCATAGGGATTTAGTCAGCAGCCTCATGGTGATAGACATTGTATCCATGCACATTAGAAGTCCAGCCCAGCACATAGGAACTATAATCTTCATACGGCCGTTGAGAATTTCGATCCTTGACCAATGTTCCAACTTTCCTACCACTCAGGGACGAATGCAGAATTTCGAGTGAATGGGGCGAAAATATTCTCGCTAGTGTAAGGGTCGATTATATTTTTTTGCTAGTGTAGGACTCTGCGACTATTTTTTATTCAAAAAAAATCATTATTATATCTAGAAGCAGCTCAAATGAAAGAGGCCTAACATTGTAACTTTTAGGTCTACCTTACATAAACATTATCATGTGTGTGTGTGTGTGTGTATATATATATATATATATATATGTATGTGTGTGTGTGTGTATATATATGGATTGGTTCAAATATATATATATATATATATATATATATATATATATATATATATATATATATATAGGGGTGAGATCACATACAAACCATGCTTAATTGACTAACCTACAAATTCAATAATATGCAGAACTTTGAACTTCAATATGCATTACAAATAATGTAAAGATGCACTCTTTGAACTTCAATATGCAATACAAATAATATAAATATGAAACTGCTATTTTATGGCTTGAATAATATGAAACACTTTGAACTTCAATGTTCAATACAAATAATGTAAAGATGATTTGAATGAGAGCACTAGTTTGTATGTGATCTCACCCTGCATCTTTACCTTATTTTTATTGCATATTGAACTTCAAAGTGCTGCATATTATTAAACATTTTTTTTTAAATCTAAGACGACCTTAAACGAGTTTTTCCAAAATAATGCAAAATAAAAAAATATTTATCAATTTGGGGTTGGGTAAAATGTGTTTCACAAACTAGTTTTGAGGCGAAACGCCAATTGAGTTAGCTAGGTTGTTTTTACGTCGACTGTAATTCATCCCAGACCAGACCAAAACAGATCAGATCAGATCAGACCAGACTAAAACATACCAGACCACACCAGACCATATATTATTATTGTTATTATTATTATTAGTATTATTACTATAATTACTATTATTTTTATTATTATTTGTAATTATAAATGAATAAAATATAATTATTTATGGATTGTAATATATATATATATAAAATAAAATCTTTATGCAAAAAATATAAAAAATAAAACTTCAGATCAGACCAAACCAGACCTGACCATATTTTATTATTATTATTATTATTTGCAATTAAAATACCAGCTTTTTTTAATGAATTAAGGTATCATTCGCTACATGGCTACAGATACAATTCGGAATAGAACTAAATAATAATTTACCACCCGCACTGGAAACGGCTGCCCTTGCAAGTACATGGGTTGCTCGATTCGCGGATCGTCTGCAAAACATGACTGAAAAACTAGCTTCAGATTGAAGTATGTGTCTAATGTCATCAATAATAAGATCAAAATAAGAATCCACGTTATCTTCCGACAGTCGTGAGAACACTTGTAAAGCGTCTGTCTCGACTTCTACTTTAGACCATCCTTGTTCTTTAGCCCAAATGCATGCCTCTCTTACTCCAACGGCTTCTGTAGCTGCTGCAAACCAATTTGCCCGACAGGCCTCCCAACTTGTTGGAGGAAATTGGCCGGATAAACCTGCAAAACAGCGTTAGAAAAATAATATAGCTCGAGTCGCGTAAACGCTGTCCTCAAGAAAGTATTTCCGACTAGCGAAAACCTTTCCCCAAGATAAAACGAGTTCTTCGGCTTATGCCGGTAACAGAACAACGAGATTAAAATAAAATTAATCAAGCAGAGTAGTATATATTAGAGGATGTTCAACTCAAAAGTAATTTTTGTCCGGCTACTAAGTACGAAGAGTAATATTTTCCTTAAGAGCAAAAACGATTGAAATCTGAACGCCAAAAAAAAACACTGCTTTTTCTCTACGCGCACATGCATATATATAATATGCTAGCCAAGGCAACTTAATAATATGTAGTAAAAGCTAGAGCTCACAAAACCGTTTTGACATAAGCTCAATTGAATTTGTTCATTAATGCAATGTTAATTAATATTCAACAGATGATCAAAAAATGTAACGTACCATCATTAATTTGGAAAATTGATTAAGATTTAAATGCTAACCAAAAAGAATAGAATAAATGCATGTGCAAAAGTTTTATTTGTAAAATCTAATTAAATTAAAAAGTGAACAAAACAATTAAAACAAAAAAAAACTCTATTCATTTGAAATACTCTCAATTTTTCCAACAATCCCCCACATATTTCAAATGAATGTTTTGAAAATAGTTTAGAAAATTTCTGCTGGATTAAAGGAATGAGACTTTAAGTTTGGTGTCCGTAGACTATGAACCAAACCGAGACGATTAAGTCTTAATAAACTGAGCTTTTGGTGAAACGTATAGTTTCTTGAACCAACAAGCTACTATTGGTAAATCAGGGTCTTAACAGTCGTGTCTCATCCTGCACAATTTCTCGTTATTACGCCGTTGTGCGCCGTAAGGTCATGCGCGTGCTTGGTGTTCATGAGTGCTCTAGAAGTTTTGTCATGCTTCATAGAGGCGGCCCCACCTCACACTCATATAGGTGATATCATCAAGCGTGTACCGCTTTTGCACACCACCCTAAAATTAAGGGCTATGATAATCATTAAGAGCTTTTAACTCACCCTCTCAAAGAATGCGGTTTCTAGCCTATATCTCACATCATGGAAATAGGCAATTTTAGTTAGGCTAGCAGAACTAAATGGAAGACTTGTTATTACCCATATGAACTTGCTTCATGGGATCTCCAATCACACAAGTTGGGTTCCCATCCCCATTTGTTTCAAAGTGACACTAATCTCATTTCCTTCGATGTTTCGGTTATCATTTTTTTCATCTTAGGGATTCTGTCAAAGGAGTAGCTAATTCCTTCTGACCTCACAAATTAATGGAAATAATTCCATTCTCAAACATCACTACACAACTTTTAAGGGTGAATGGATATTCACTATTTTAACTTATCTGATATGAGTATACTCAGATGTCATCGTTGTATCCCGATAATACAATGGATAATTCTCAATAAGAAATAACATCGATGTGACCCCTCAGTACATCGGATAATTCTCAATAAAATATATACCATCATTGTATTATTATAATACAATAGATAATTCTCATATAACATCATTGTACCGCTCTAGGACAACGGATATTTCTCAATAAAACATATCATCGTTGTATTAATAGATTACAACGGATACTCTCAATAAAAACACCATAATTAATGGTACCTCTCAAATATCTCAATAACCGCCTCAACGCAGTCCAATGATCCCTACTTGGGTAATGAGTATATCAGCTCAATCTTCCGACAACACAAACTATGTCGGGCCTAGTATAATTTATAAACTGTAATAAACATCCAATAATTTGAGAATACTCATATTGAGCCTCACGATCACCTCTATTTTTTAAGTGCATATGAAAGTCATAAGGGATACTCACGGGTGTGACACTAAAATATCCAAACCTCTTTAGAAGTCTATCAGCATAATGCTCTTGAGATAGTAAAACACCATCATCCTTCCTTGTGACTTTCATATATACCCAAAATCATTTTTGTTAACCCCAAGTCTTTCACACTAAAATTAACAAATCATCCACATACAAGCAAACAATAATGCACACACCATTTTCACATTTAGTGTATTCACACTTATATCTACTTCTCATAAGCGAATAATACTTCATCAAAATTTTCACATTTGTGTTCCTAATCAGTAACTACATGACCTTGCGGTTGCACCATATAAATTTCTTCCTCTAGTTCACCATTTAAAAATGCAATTGTAATATCCATTTGATGAATAAAAAGTTTGTGAATAAGTCAAAAGTTCATCATTAATAAGATTAATAAGGTATGAATAAAAATCATTTCTAAAGGATTTCTCTATCCTTGGCCTCTTACTTCTTCTCAAAGGAGAAGGTTCATCATTAAAAGAATAATTTTCTTTTAATGGATCACTATCACTAGAGGGTTCTTCATTAAAGGTTTTATTTCCTTGTAATGGATCACAATCACTATATGGCGCAACGGTCTTGTGTTCAATTTTCAAAGGAAACGCGTTCTCAAAAAATTCAGCATTTTTTTTGTTTCAACAGCGTATAAACAAATAATCATTCATGCATCATTTAGTGTGTACACATTCTCCAAAAATGGTCACATTAATAACATCAATAATATAACATAAAGCATTGCACATTAGCACACTATTTCTTTCTTTTAAGAAAATCATATATATGCTCCACTATTTCAATTTATGCAAAAGTGGCAAGAGTTATAAATCTCATTTTCACTAAATGAAATAGGTAATAAAAATTTAGCTAAGCACCCCCACAATTTTAAATATTTAAAAACAGGTGCATAGCCCTTCTAGAATTCATAGAGAGATAATTTATATCTCAACCTTTAATTGTACACAATGACTTTTCTGAGCGTTAATCCGATTAATACGGCTCCCCATGCGGGTGTATCACAGGCTACTTCTCAACGCACAAGTAGAGATAACATAGCTCCGATGAGTGCGGCGGCAACGCCTTGTGAGTTGATATGTGCAGGCATATCCGACGCGAATTACTTTCTTGAGATTGTTGGAGGAAATTGGCCGGATAAACCTGCAAAACAGCGTTAGAAAAATAATATAGCTCGAGTCGCGTAAACGCTGTCCTCAAGAAAGTATTTCCGACTAGCGAAAACCTTTCCCCAAGATAAAACGAGCTCTTCGGCTTATGCCGGTAACAGAACAACGAGATTAAAATAAAATTAATCAAGCAGAGTAGTATATATTAGGGGATGTTCAACTCAAAAGTAATTTTTGTCCGGCTACTAAGTATGAAGAGTAATATTTTCCTTAAGAGCAAAAACGATTGAAATCTGAACGCCAAAAAAAACACTGCTTTTTCTCTACGCGCACATGCATATATATAATATGCTAGCCAAGGCAACTTAATAATATGTAGTAAAAGCTAGAGCTCACAAAACCGTTTTGACATAAGCTCAATTGAATTTGTTCATTAATGCAATGTTAATTAATATTCAACAGATGATCAAAAAATGTAACGTACCATCATTAATTTGGAAAATTGATTAAGATTAAAATGCTAACCAAAAAGAATAGAATAAATGCATGTGCAAAAGTTTTATTTGTAAAATCTAATTAAATTAAAAAGTGAACAAAACAATTAAAACAAAAAAAAACTTTATTCATTTGAAATACTCTCAATTTTTCCAACACAACCTCCTCGAATGAATCTGCCTTCCTCATCACATGCTAACCAGCCCCAAGCTCTCATTCCCCTATTAGCATCCACCGCCCCATCCACGTTTATTTTTATCACCCCTTCAGTTGGCCGTTCCCATCTTTCATCCTCTTTTTGCCTTATTGAATCCTGTGTAGCAGATTGTTGTGCCGCTCTCCATCCGTTTAGCACTGCTGCACATGCGTTAATGATTTGTTCAACATTGGCCTGCTTTTCCTTCCAAACCACTTCATTACGTGATTTCCAAATGCACCACATCAGTGTGATTAACAAGCAAAGCTCCTCCTCATTTTTACTTTCAAAAGCTGCTTGCATCCACTATAGTAGGATCTCAGATTGCCCCTGCACTATTAATTTCAGTTTCCTCCATACAGCTGCTGCCAGAGGACAATCCCTAAACAAATGCAGGGAAGTTTCTGCCTCAATATTGCATAACCTGCAATCGGCTTGAATATTTACTTTTCTCCTTCGTAAATTCACAGTTGTTGGTAACACCTCATTCATAAGTTGCCAAAAAAAATGTTTTGTTTTAGGTGGTATATGAAAACTCCACATACTAGTCCACCCAATCCAGTTATTTACCGAGATTTCCCCGGTCAATTTTCTGTAACCACTCTTTACAGTATATTTCCCCCGAGTATCGCTGATCCACCAATACCCATCCCTTACCTTCCTACGGCTAAGGGGAATAGTTAAAATGGCAGTTCTCTCAGCCGCTGAAAAAAGAGTTTGCAGACGCTCTATATTCCAGCCCGATCTATCCTCCTTAATAAGACATGCTACGTTCATATCAAATACACCCGTCGGTTTCAGAGATGAAATCATACCTCCCTCCTTAACTGGGAGCCAACTATCGTGCCAAACAGAAATATCTCTCCCACTTCCGACCCTTCGTCGAGTTCCTTCTCTTATAACTCCCTGTGCCTCCAAGACACTACGCCAAATATAGGAAGGATTACTCCCTAATTTTGCACAAAGAAAAGAAGTTTTTGGATAATACCTTGCCTTGTATATTCTGCTCACTAATGAATTTGGGTCGGTCGTTAAACGCCATGCTTGTTTTCCTAGCATTGCAATTTCAAATTCCTTAAGAGATCGGTAACCCAGACCACCTTTATATTTAGGCACACATAAAGCTTTCCAAGCCTTCCATCTAATTCCATGCCCTGCCATATCTCTCCCTCTCCACCAATATCCATTCATTATTTTCTCAATTTCTGAACATAAATCTTGAGGTAATAGAAAAACATTCATAGCGTATGATGGCATTGCTTGGATTACCGTTTTTAGTAGAACCTCTCTTCCTGCCTTGGAGAGGAACCCATTATTCCACTCATGGATTCTTTTCAGTATTCTCTCTCGTAAGTAGCCAAGAATTTCTGTTTTTCTCCTCCCGACCAATGCTAGAAGCCCAAGATACCGAGAATTAGCATCATTCACCGATACCCCCAATAGTCCAATGATGTCCACTCGCTTTGCTTCGCTTTGCTTCGCTAACATTCGGGCTGAACGAGATGGCAGATTTGATAAAATTAATTTGCTGTCCTGAACTGGATTCATAGACCTGTAGAATTCTTTTAATGGCATCACACTCCTCCTTCTGAGCCTTGAAAAAAGGGAACTATCGTCAGCAAAAAACAAGTGGGACACTTTCGGTGCCCCTCTTGCTATAGATATTCCATGGATCTTGCCCTCACTTTCCTGCTGCTTAATTAACAAACTGAGTCCTTCCGCAACTAGGATGAATAGATAAGGAGATAAGGGATCTCCCTGACGTAATCCACGCTGTAGAACTATAGTTCCCAAAGTATCATCATCAAATGGTATCAAGTATTCAACAGATTCCACACACTCTCTAATGAGCTGTATCCATTTAGGAGCAAACTTCATCAATTCCATAATGATGACTAAAAACTTCCACTCAACCCTGTCATAGGCTTTGCTCATATCAAGTTTAAGGGCTACAAATCCCTCTTTACCTCGAGACTTACGCTTCAAATAGTGATGTGTTTCGAAGGCTATCATAATATTATCAATTATGGATTGCCCCGGGATAAAAGCACTTTGATTACAAGACACCAAAGTATTTAAACACCCTTTTAAGCGATTAGCCAAAACTTTTGAAAAGACTTTGTATATAACGGTGCATAAAGCTATAGGACGCCAATCACCAAGATTCTCAGGTTTATCTTTTTTGGTATAAGAACAAGATTTGTAATGTTTACCTCCCTAGGTAACTGCCCCTCCCTGAATATTGTTTGACAATATTTAACAACATCGCTCCCTACGATCTCCCAGTAATGTTGGAAAAAGCCCGGATTTAATCCATCAGGGCCCGGCGCTTTATCCGGGTGCATGTCAAACACTGCCCTTTTAACCTCCCTCTCCGTAATTGGACGTAACAAACTAACATTCCCCGATTCAGTCATCATTGCCATACCCCTTAGCTTGCCTTTCAACTCTTGAGGATTCAAACTAGCATTAGCAGATTGAAATAGAGTTTGAAAATAATTTTCTACCATGTCGCCTACTTGCCTCCTCTCTGTCACCCAAACTCCATCCTCAGATTTTAGACCAATCATTTTGTTCCTGCGACGTCTCTGTTTCACGGAATTATGGAAAAAATTTGTGTTGACATCCCTGTCCTTCAACCAAAATTCTTTTGCCCTTTGACGCCAAAAAACATTTTGTTGATGAAGCAAGTTCATTAAGACTGCCTTGACCCTCTGAAACTCCTCGTTGCTACGCTGACTTCCTACATTACGAAGATAATTTAATCTTCTTTTACAACTCTCTATTCTTGCCTGGAAACCTACCTTCCTTTCTTTGCTCCACCTCTCCAAATCTTGCCCACACCCTTGTACTTTTTGCCAAATAGTGCTAGACAAATGCTTCGTCCAGCTGCGCTTCACCACCTCCCGACACTCTCCGTCATGTGTCCATATATTCTCAAATTTAAAAGCTTTTTTTTATGGATTTGTCCACTGGTATACCTGAAGCGAATTAATAACATGAGGTGATCGCTTGCGATGCCTTCCAGAGAATAAGCGGAAACTTCCTTAAACAAGTCGAGTCAGCCCTCATTAGCCACTATCCGATCCAATTTTTCCTGAATTCACCATGACGTCCCTCTCCCTCTCTCCCATGTCCATTGGTAACCTTCGAACGAGATATTCTGAAGGCCACTACCCCAGACTGCGTCTCTAAAACCTTTCAACAACCACCTTGGTTGAAGTAATCTGCCACGGCATTCGTTGTCGAACATGATATCGTTGAAGTCCCCCATTACTAACCAAGGTTTATCAGACAAGCGGGATAGATTTCGTAATAGGTTCCAGGACTCTCTTCTTCTAGTTCATTCTGGATGGCCATAAAAACTAGTAAATCTCCATACTGGTTCTCCTTCATCAAGCTGTACCAAACAGTCAATAAAATTTGATGATGATGAAGCAATTTCAATTCTGATTCCTTCACGTCATAAAAGGCATAAGCCTCCACTTTGCCCTATGCTATCTACGACAAATATATTCTGAAAGCCAAGCGTACTTCTCACGGAATCGCACCGATTCCATTACGCCTTAGTCTCCAGCAAGAAAATAATTCCAGGTTTCTTCTCACGCACCATGTCGGACAACACTGGGACTGTTGCCAAATTACCCAAGTCACGACAATTCCAGCTAACGATGCTCATTGAATAATAAACTGTTCACTCTCGAGAACAAAGCCTCCCTTCAAGTGTCAATGACGAGGCCTCCGCCGCGATTCAAAACCCACCCTAAATAAGCTAGGCACCGGCCGCCGTTTCTACAGTAGCAAGAATCCCAGGCCCCTGCAATTCGATCTTATGATATGCAAGACTCGTTCCCAACAAAAGACACACCAAACCGCCGGACAAGATGATGAGATCACCGCCGGAAAAACGACACTAGGAAAACCCTAGACCAGACCGCCAGAAATTTCCATTATTATTATTATTATTATTATTATTATTACACTACTATTACTATTACTATTACTATTACTATTACTATTACTATTACTATTACTATTACTATCACCATCACCATCACCATCACCATCATCATCCTCGTCATCGCCGCCGTCGTCGTCATCATCATCATCATTGTTATTGTTATTATTATTATTAGTATTATTACTATGATTACTATTATTATTTTTAATTATAAATAAATAAAATATAATTATTTATGGATTATAATATATATAAAAAATAAAATCTTTATGCAAAAAATATAAAAAATAAAATTTCAGACCAGACCAGACTAAAGTATAACAGACCAGATCAGACCAGACCAGCAAATTACAGTCCAAGTAAAAATATCCCTACTTTGGTAAAGAAAAAAAGGATGCTAGCAACCTGGAACAAGAGAGGAGAAAAGCACACGTGAGCCCCACCGAAATAAAAATCCCTATTTTTTTTTTGAACAATCCCAATTTCTTGAATAAGGCTATATTTTTATTTGTATTCCAATTGTCACAAAAAATATATATCAAAATTCATAACTTTTTGTTATATTTTATATAATATTGCATATACAAAAAAAGTAATTTAGTACTTCAATTTTTTTCCTAAGGTCTTATAACTTTTTATTTGTACTACTATTGTTACAAAATATATACCAAAATACACAACATTTTATTATATTTCATATGACACTAAAATGCAGCTATAAAATTAAAAATAATAATTTAGCACTTTAAAATAACTTTTTCTTTTAAAAGTGTTGTAACCTTTTTATTTATACTGATATGGAAAGAAACATCAAAATTCAATATTTTATTATCTTTCAAATGACACCAAAATGCACACATAAAAATTAAAAACAATAATTCGAAGATACGGCTATTAGAGGTATTTCGTCTCAAATCATTTTTTAAATACATCCAAGTTCTGAAATTAATAAAGATTTCATGATTGTATGGTGCAATTTCATTCTGAAATAAGGGGACAATTTATTCATTGGCTTTTTCGGAGAGAACATTCTTGTTATCTGATAGAGTATAATTCTAGAAAGAAGTAAGAGCTTGAGTAAGAAAGTCCTGAGTAATAAATGTTTTTCGACCCCTACAACTACCCTAAGGGGAGTACTATAAATAGAGGAACTATGGGTTAGGCTCCTAGGTCTTGAGCCCGAGATATGCCAAATACGTATAAAGGAAAGCTATCTGTTGAAGCCTCAAAGGTCGTCGTCGAGGTGCCAGGTCAAGAGAGCATGGCCGAAGGGGCCAGGCCGAGGTGACTTGTGCTTCATGGATCTAGGTCCGTTTCTAGAGTTTCTCACTTTTGAAAAGTTGTGTGGGCGGGCCTCATCCTTCCAAGGGGTCGAGTCGAGGAGTGCTTCACTCTCCCTTAGTCTTTTGAGTATCCATGAGTGTACAGTGTATTTTAGAGTGACAAGTCACTGGTATATGACGTGTCACTGAGAATTAGTCATTGGATATGACATTTTTTGAAAAGTTTCAAAATAAGTCACATTTTTATCTTTTGAATTTAATTTAATAATATTCATGAGAAAAATCATGAAACTTATACGATAGTCTCCATAACACTTAAAAAACAAGATTTTTTATTTAGGTGAGTCGTAGGTAGGCATGGACCGCGTCCGGGTCGGACCGGGCTTCAGAGCGGGTCAAGGCGGGACTGGGGTTATGGGATGAAGGCCTGGTACTGGCCCAGGTCGGTTCACTCTCACCTCTCTCTAGATATATACTCTATCATTGGGTCTATTTTTTTTTTTAACTTTGTTTTTCGAATTTATTCCTACCCCCACCCCCACCCCCAAGCCCCCCTAAACCACCCAATTCCAGTCGCCTAGCAAGCAATGAATGAGAAAAAATTAAAGAAAAAATAAAATTGGGCCCAGGCCGGTCCCCGAATCTAGCAGCCAGTAGCCCACCTCTCTTCCAACCGGTTCGGGCCAGCAGTCCCGTTCCGATACCGCCCGGGTCGGATCGAGCCTGAACGGTATCGGGGCGGGCCGGATCCCAAATTGGGCCGACGCGTCTCTAGTCCTAGGAGTGGTTTTCTCGTGTGTTGTCATGGGTTGCTAGCATGGTTCTTTTGTTTGCGTAAGCCGTCAACTTAATTGGCAATTTTTTAAACCGCGGTTCTCCGCAATAATGTTTTAGGAAATATTTTAACTCGACCCAAATTTCATAAATATTTTTTAGGGAAAAGTAGAGAAGATATACTTGTGGTTGGACCCAATTTTAGATAGGGTCACATGTTTCATTTTTTATTAAAGTGGTTCATGTGTTTGAATTCCGTCATCACAAGAGTGTCACGCCGTTAAAAACGCCTGAGAAAGACGGTTAATAATAACTTTGATTTTCAAAAGTGCCCGTAACATTAAAAGAAAAATACTGTAAGGTGCACCTCATCAAGATGACCTCCAAACCACCTTCGTCTTTGGATTTTTCCAGATGTGTTTGAATTATTTTTTGAAAAGGATTTCGCTACTATCACTTTTTCGGTGGAATTTGCGGTGACAAGGGTGGCTGGAAACAAAAAGGAAGGATGACCTAACAGTCTTCTTCTTGACGCACACCTTCCGATGTTTTTCCTTTAATTTTTGTGATAACAGAATCCAAACACATGAACCACTTTAATAAAAAATGAAACAGATGATCCTATCTAAAAACGGGCTCAACCACAAGTACCTTTTATATACTTTTCCCTATTTTTTATTTAGCTCTAATTTGGAAAAAGTGACCTTAAACATCCTTATTTTTTATTCTATTTGGAATATTTTAAATTTCATTTCAATTTGTTAAACTCATAATTTTTTGAAGAAAATATCATAAAAAATGAGAAACAAACTAAATAAAAATTTTAAGAAAACAAATTTTAAAAATGAGCATAAAATATAATACTTGTATATTTTTTATCTTTGGTTATTAGTTTTCATCATTAATGCCTTATATCAATAGTTTTCATCTTCCAGGTTTGATCCTAATCGATAATTATATTAAAGTTTAAGCTTGACAAATTTCTTACTTGATATGATTATAATTTAGAATCATGCAAAAAGTTTTTAAGTAATTATAGTAAGAGAAAATTCTTTATATAGGACTAAAACATAATGAGTCAAATGACTATCATTGTTTTCTTTTTAAAATATGACTTATTTACTCTTACTAGGATCCAATGAGTCATATTTCGGAATAAAGTACATGTATTTCTATTTATGAATTTTGTTCAAGTTTTAGTCCTATTTAGAGTAATCACTGCTATATGCTATATTAACTATATATAATCCATGCATGGACAGCTTGGAATGGGAAGTGCAGTAGAGACACTATGTGGACAAGCCTATGGAGCGCACAAGTACGAAATGCTTGGAATTTATCTCCAAAGGTCGACCATTCTTCTCTTGCTGGCGGGACTACCCCTCTTAGTGGCATATCTATTCTCCAAACAAATTTTGCTCTTATTAGGAGAGTCCAAATCCGTGGCTTCGGCATCCGCCCTCTTCGTCTACGGTCTGATCCCGCAAATTTTTGCTTATGCTGCAAATTTTCCGATACAGAAATTCTTGCAGTCCCAAAGCATCGTAAATCCTAGTGCATATATATCAGGTATTAAGGACTTTGCTTTCTTCAATTCATATATTCATATTAAACCAAAATTTGTATTCACTCTGAGCATAAAAGTATCTTTTTATATTGACATGGCATACTTTAAAAAGAGTAAATTTGTGTGGTAAAGGTTTAGTTTGTAAAGCTACAACAAAATCAAGCCAACATTTCATTTTGGAAATCGGAATATATACCGCCTAGAAAAGTTCTTGTCAATGTTCAATTTTTCGAGGACGAAAATCAGCAGTTGGAGATCATGGGATCTTGTACCATTTTATGACTAAGGTTCTGTTTTAAAATGTCAACCGACAATAATAATGTAGTACTTTTTGTATACATATATAAGTTGAGAAATTGCTCGAAATAAGAGTAAAAACGTTTGTGTATTTCAAAATAAGACTTATGTTTGCTAACCTAAATATGATGATCGAGTAATTATTGTCATGTTTTGGCAGCAACAGGTTTCAAACATGATAGTACTTTCCAAGTTTGGGATTAATTGCTCTTGTTTAGGAAATAAAAACAAGATATTTCTATTCTGGAATTTTCAAACGTTTTAAGTCCTGTTTCGTAAAGTTTCCCTTAACTTTAAATGTGATGTAGTTTTTATTAATTAATCAATTGTGATTTCAGGAGTAACACTAATTTTGCACATCTTCCTTACGTGGGTGGCATTGTATGTGTTGGGGTGGGGATTGTTGGGCGCGGCTCTCGTGCTGAGCTTTTCGTGGTGGATCATAGTTGTAGCGCAGTTTGTGTACATATTGTTGAGCAAGCGTTGCGAGAAGACGTGGGGAGGGTTCAGCCTTGGTGCATTTTCTGGGCTGTGGGATTTCTTCAAGCTCTCTATTGCATCAGCTGTGATGTTGTGTTTGGAGACGTGGTACTTCCAGATTCTGGTCTTGATTGCTGGTTTGCTTCCTAATCCTGAGGTTGCCTTGGATTCTCTCGCCGTTTGGTAAGTTTGGCTGACACATGTCCATGTTCAATCCTGTACTATCTTCACTTTATTATTTACATTTTCTATGTCTATTTTGAATATAATCGTTTTCTCCTAATGCATATGAGCACATTATAATAAAAGCAGAATTTGAAATAGAAACTCAAGCAAATTAGTATGGTTAAAAATCATAGTTGGTGGAGCATAGTTGAAGTCAGTTATGATTTGTTTGTATTTGATGTAACGGTAGTATAGTACTGATTCTAATGATATCAATATAGACAATTATCTTTAAAAAAGAATTGATTACCTTGCTTTTTAAATTTCATGCAGTTCAACAATTCTTGGATGGGTGTTCATGATATCTGTAGGTTTCAATGCTGCAGCAAGGTTAGTTTGTATCTTTCTTTCTATCTTTACATGAAACTTCACCCCCTTTTTCTCTTGGATGAACCGGGGTAGAAAATACATAAATCACCAAATTGTATTTACGAAGCCATCAAGCCAAAGCCTAAGGGTGCATAATAATCCCATTATCCCAAGATGAGAGTAACAACACACTCATTAGCTATAGATAAACACGCCGTGTCAACTCATGACTACGTTTTGTCTTTCGTCTCATTTTGTGTTTGGGGAAAATAATTAAAATATCCCAAACTTTGAAGGGGTGTGATAAAAACACCCCGAACTTTCATATTAATTTAAATACCCCAAACTTTATATAAAAAGTTATTTTAACACCATGGTTATGTGTAATTTCTTTCAAAAATGTAAATTCATGGTGTTAAATGCATAATTTAAAATAGAAAATTGAAAACATTATAATTATATATAGTGGTGGGTAATACTATTTATTTTACAATGGAAGCTTAGAATGTTAATTGTATCTTTATGAATGCTAAATTTATCAAGCTTGAAAGAAATTATTCATGACCATGGTGCTAGAATAACTTTTTATATAAAGTTTGAGGTATTTAAATTACATATGTATGTTTGGGGTGTTTATCTCACACCCCTTCAAAGTTTGGGATATTTTAATTATTTTCCCCTTTGTGTTTTTGTGCATATCGAGCTACATATGAACTCAATTCTAGCCTAAATAGGAGTGTTAGGCTATCCACAACAGTTGACCGTCAATGAATCCAAATACAACCGCAAATTATATTGTGGGATCGGTAAACTTTGATCGGGAAGGCAGTCAACTTTTTTTTTTCTCTCTCTCTCTCTCTCTATATATATATATATAGAGAGAGAGAGAGAGAAAGAGAGAGAGAGAGAGAGAGAGAGAGAAAGAAAAGATGCCCCTTAAAATGAAAAGTGAGAAGTAATCTCAGCCCTTGGATTTGCATCTAATCTTACAACGCAGTAAACTTATAGACTGAATCTAGGAACTTATAACCAATAAATCATAACTTATAAAGCTCTTCATCATAATTACGGAAATGCCACCGTGTCAAAAAAAATTGAAGGTTTCTGGATTTATTTTTTGCGGTGGCATTTTCTTAATTATTTTTGAGGGAGTCTATAAATTGTGATTTATTAGTTAAAAGTTCGTGTTTTTAGTCTATAAGTTCAACTTCGCAGTTCTCAGCCTAAGGGCACTTCTCAACTGATCCGCTCCCTATATATATAGAGAGAGAGAGAAAAAAAAGATCATGTGAGAAGTCCCCCTTAGGCTGAAAAGCTGCAAAGTCTAACTTATAAGCTAAAAACACGAACTTTTAACCAATAAATCATACTACCTCCGTTCCCATTTTAACTTCCAAATGGGTTTGGCACAAAGTTTAAGATAGTGGATATTGTGTGGTGGAGAGTTGTGCAGAGGAGAGAGAAATGTGTAAGAAAAGTTGTGAACCACAAATTCTTTACCAAAAAGGGAAAGTGGAAGTTTTAATTGGAACGGATGAAAAAGGAAAGTTGGAAGTTTATTTAGGAACGGAGGGAGTAACTTATAGAACCCCCCCAAAAATTACAAAAATGCCACCGCGTCAAAATAGCTTCAGAAACCTGTTTTTTTTTTCCGTGATTATTTTTAGGGGTCTATAAGTTATAGTCATTCTCCTGTCCAGCAGCTTTCTGTCCGAACGCCGTCCGAACACCGCCGTTCGGGGTGGTTCCTGGTGGAATGTTTTGATGAAATTTTTTGAGCATGTTCCTCATCAAGCCTAGTTTATCCATACAAAATTTCAGCTTAAAATTCGATTAGGAAGGCAGTCAAATAATTCGTTGAAGTTAACTGCGTTTTTCTATGTATAATTTTGCGCAGTTAACTTCATCAAATTATTTGACTGCCTTCCCGATCAAATCTTGAGCTGAAATTTGGTATGGATAAACTAGACTTGATGAGGAACATGCTCAAAAAAATTCATCAAAAAATTCCACCGGGAACCACCCCAAACGGCGGTGTTCGGACGGCGTTCGGATCGGAGGCTGCTGGACCTAAGAATTTCTATATATATATATATATATATATATATATATATATATATATATATATAGAGAGAGAGAGAGAGAGAGAGAGAGAGAGAGAGAGAGAGAGAGAGAGAGAGAGAGAGAGAGAGAGAGAGAGAGAGGAAAGTTCATGTCCGGAATTCCGGACAGGAACCGCCGTCCAGACGGTGGCGTTTGGCCGCCTTCCTGGTGGAATTTTTTGTTGAAATTTTTATGGCATGTTCTTCATCAAGTCTAGTTTATCCACAAAAAATTCAGCTAAAAACTCAATCGGAAGAATGTCAAATGAATTTTACAAGTTTACTGTATTTTCCGGCGCAGTTATCTTGTAAAACTCATTGGACGACTTTCCCGATTGAGTTTTTAGCTGATTTTTTTGTGTGGATAAACTAGACTTGATGAATAACATGACATAAAAATTTTATCGAAAAGGTAGACCTGGAACCGCCCCAAACGGCGGCGTCCGGACGGAGGTTCTGGTCCGGAATTCCGGACCTGAACTTCTCTCTCTCTCTCTCTCTCTCTATATATATATATATATTGGGAGCGGTTCCGGTAAGAACGGACTTCCAGGAGAGAAATGAGAATGTATTTGGACCATTGGATTGTATTATGTGGAACTGAATTGTGTATTTGGTGAAACTGAAATGTGAATTTGATGATATTGAAATGTGCAGAATCAATATTTAAACTCAAATGTGCATTAGTTAAAACTGAAATGTGCGTAATAAATGGTACAAAAATAACATCACATCATACCTTTTATTTTGCACATTTCAATTTCACCTAGTGCACATTTCAATTTCACATAATGCACAATTCAGCTTCACATAATGCTACTGTATCGTACCGGCCATTAGTGTGGCACATTTCAATTTCATTTAATTCACATTACAGCTTCATCTAATGCACATTGAATTTCACTTAAAGCAAATATAACGGTTCAGATTCATTCTCATTTCTCTCATAAGATCATGTTCTTATTTGAACCAAAACATATACATACATATATATATATATATACACACACACACACACGAAAATTCTCAGGTCCGAACGTTAGGACCTGATGCGCCGTCCGAACACCGCCGTTCGGGGTGGTTCCCGATGGAATTTTTTATGAAATTTTTATGGTATATTCCTCATCAAGTCTGGTTTATCCACAAACAATTTCAGCTCAAAACTCGATTGGAAAGACCGTCAAATATTTTTGGAAGTTGACTGCGTTTTTTTATGTATAACTTTGCGTAGTTAACTTTCAAAAATTATTTGACGACCTTCCTGATCGAATTTTGAGCTGAAATGTTTTGTGGATAAACTAGACTTGATGAAGAACATACAATAAAAATTTCATCAAAAAATTCCACCAGACCCCCCCCCACCCCGAACGGCGGTGTTCGGACGGCGTTCGGACCAAAACCTACTGGACAGGAGAATGACTCTCTCTCTCTCTCTATATATATATACATATATATATATATATATATATATATATATATATATATATATACATATATATATATATATATATATATATATATATATATATATATACATGAGTTCTAGTGAAAACCCCTCTTAAAATTTAGGGTAATTATGAATCATAACCAATGATTGCAATAAATGAATGGTGGAGATTAAAATTTTACCATTTTAAAGAGTTCTTATTTTAGGAGGGGTTCTCACTAGAACCCTCCCATACATACATACATATATATATATATATATATATATATATATATATATATATATATATATATATATATATATATATATATATATATATAGATCAACTCATCGGATGGCCAAGATCAGTTTGTACTTTGTAAATTAAGCATGATTTGTATTTGATCTCTATTCTGTACATATATATACATATGTGTGTGTTTATATATATATATATGTATATATATATATACATATATATGTATATATATATACATATATATATATGTATATATGTATATATGTATATACATATATATGTATGTATTTGATCTCTATTCTGTACATATATATACATATGTGTGTGTTTATATATATATATATAAGCATGATTTGTATATATATATACATATGTGTGTGTTTATATATATATATATGTGTACATATATATACATATGTGTGTGTTTATATATATATATATGTATATATATATATACATATATATGTATATATATATATACATATATATATATGTATATATATATATATAAACACACACATATGTATATATATGTACAGAATAGAGATCAAATACAAATCATGCTTAATTTACAAAGTACAAACTGATCTTGGCCATCCAATGAGTTGATCTAAAGGATATAAATGCAAGGTGGCATTTTTGTAATAAAACCTAACTTTTATAGGGTGCAACTCATTGAACGTAAATGTGCAACTGCTATTTTATGACTATATAATATGCAACACTTTGAACCTCAATATGCAATGCAAATAACGTCAAGGTGCATCGTACAAACATTTGCACAATAAGCACAGTTTGTACTTGATCTTTCCCCTATATGTACATGTATATATATGTATGTACATACATATATATGTGTGTGTGTGTATATATATATATATATATATATGTATGTATGTATGTATGTATATAGGGGATGGTTCAAATACAAAGACCTCTTCCCATGCAAAGTGAGAATAAATCTTGTACATTCATTTCCACATCTAATGGCTCAAAATGAGCCAAAAATGCACAAAATTCGACCAAAATCGTGGTGGCAATTTCGTAAATATGTTTCACTTTTTCGTTACCGCGAAATAGTGCAATAGAAACACGCAAAAGTGCAAGCAAAACATGCAAAAGTGCATTTTTCGCACTTTGCACGGGAAGAGGTCTTTTTATTTGAACTCTTCCCTATGTATATATATATATATAATTAGGTTCAAGTGAGAAAATGATCTTAGGAGAGAAATGAGAATGAATCTGGACTGTTAGATTGTATTCCGTGAAATTGAATGTGCATTAAGTGAAACTGAAATGTGCATTAGGTGAAATCGAAATGTGCAGCACAAAATGTAAGGCATATTGGTATTATGTGAAGCTGAATTGTGCATTATGAAAAACTAAAATGTGCACTACGTGAAACTGAAACGTACAGAATAAAAACTAGGATGAAGTGGCATTTTTGTGCCTTTTATTCTGCACATTTCAATTTCATGTAATGCACATTTGAGTTTTATTTTTCATTCTGCACATTTCAATTTCACGTAGTGCACATTTCAATTTTACCAAATGCACAATTCAATTTTACATAATACAATTCAACGATCTAGATTTATTCTCATTTCTCTCCTGTGAGTTATTTCTCACTGGAACCACTCCACACACACACACACACACACACACACACACACACACACACATATATATATAAAAGAAGAAGCAAAGAAGCAAATTTCATACGAAGTGTGTATATATATATTAGAGAAATTACATTTTGATTTGGCACAAGTTACATTTCCATTGATGCAATTTACATTTTTATTACATCAAGTTACATTTCAGTTAACATGATTTACATTTTCAAATTTCCTCAAGTTACTTTTTCATACACTCAGGTTACATATCAATTTGATAGAAGTTACATTTTGTAATACGCGATTTACATTTCGTGTATGAAAGGTGAGAGAACCACATAAGAGTGTAATATGAGTTACATTCCATGCAACGTATTACATTTGTAGTTAATTGAGATTACATTTTATAACAACTCGAGTTACATTTCAATACATGTGATTTACATCATGAAAAAATATTAAGACATAAAAATTATGTACTCTTCACCCGCGTTTTATTTAATTAAAATAAAACGCGTACACACCAACTCGTGTACACATGATACACGCTTAATTTTGTTTGTAGAAATGCAACTTTTTTCGTTCTTGTGAAGTGAATTGTCGATGACATCAAAAATATTTTCTGTGGCGCGTAGAAAATAATTTTTTCTTTGCACAACAATTCACCAAAATGAAAAAAAAAGCAGTCTGTCGACAAACAAAAAAGAGATTTTTTTTTTCGAATTAATGTTAATTAATTAATTAATTACGAAAATAATGCTGGAAAAACAGTATTTACCAATGGACGACTTTCCTTGACCATATGAACACATACCAGCAACTACTGCCAGCCACGCACGATCGTGCCTGCAAAGGTAGGCACGATCATGCGTAATTCCTAAAACAGAGTTTCATCATTTTTTTGCCCCAGTTCAACCCAGAGTCATCTGTTTGCTATAAATAAAGTCTTCCTTCTCCTGTTTAAGTGTTACGACCAGATATAACACATTATAAAACATACAACACACCTGTTCACAATCACATACATAACACCTACTCTCAACAACATACAAAACATACAACACACTTGTTCACAAACACATACATACCACCTACTCTCAACAACATACATTCATAACCGGTAAAACACAGTTCAATCATCCAATATTCATAACAAGTAATCATCTAATATTCATACTCGAACACATCAAGACATACAAGAGTTTAGAAGAGAAAATACGTAAAATGTTGTAAATTGTTCCTACAACATCTACTGTAGAAGAAAAACTGCAATACAAAAGGCAAACTACAAGTTCTCATGATCATCTTGATCATCTTGGTCATGGAGATGTTGTTGCTGATGTCTACGCCTACGCCGTGGTCGTGGTTGAAGAACCACGACCATGCTGCGTCTGGGATCCGCTGTCACCTCCATGCCTACAAACAAACAAAAGCGTATTAGTTAATTTTTACTATTATAGTAATTCTTTTTTTTTAATCATCCATTTTATTAATTAATATGTTTACATGCAACGCTAAGATGAATTGTGAATTACTATAATTAAAACCTTACCCACTGGACCCCCCCATCTTGTCTTGACGATCTCTTTGCACATGTGGCCCTATTATGGCCGGTTTGGTCCATTGTAAGTAGGCCAATAATCACGATCAGGAATGGGTTTGAAGACTATGATATGTGGCCGCGTATTGGTCAGATGAGAAAAACTTATCCACAAATGGAGCATAAGACAAGCTACGTTGTCTGCACACGGCTAACACATGGGAGCATGGAATCTTATATATCTCCATCTTTTTACAAGTGCAAGTTTTCCGTCTTAGATGGACAGTTTGTTTTCTCCCACCCTTCCCCAACGTTCGGCCACCACAACCGGTTTCCACTTGAAATAACTCTCAGCCTAAATCAAATGGAGTAACTGTGTGATGTTTGGCCTTCTCTCTATTCTTATCAATTAAATCTGTGATGTATGGGGAGTACTCGTGGCCTTCTGTCACTCTCATTTTACTGGTTTCACGCCTATTAACAAAATAAGCATTAACCCAGTAAATGGAAATCTGGACCAAAGCGGTGATGGGCAAATATCTGGCATTTTTCATCACGCTATTGAAATCCTCTGCCAGATTAGAAGTGATGGTACCGTATCTGTACCCCCATCGTGGTGCAATGACCACATTTCCGGGGAAATGTTCCCCAGAAATTGTCGTGCCTCCAAACTCATTTCACCTATCTTCTTGAACCCACCCATTTGTATTTATCGGACTCTATCACCCGGAAAAATTGGTTCCGTTTGACAGAATACAAGCTCACAATATTGATGACTTGTTCTTTGTTGTCAAACTGTTGACCGACCTCAAACTCACCTTCGGGGGTAAACCTTTTCTCACCTGATCCACTCATCCACGCATCAGTAAAGCCTTCAGGGAGATCATACATTCTAGTAAAGTGGGTAGACGGGGCAGTTGCCGTGACCGTATCACCATCATCTTCATCAGATTCTGTCATGTCTTCACCATTGATGTTGTCGTCAGCATCATCATCACTTCCCTGTCCATTCACAAATGATGCACCGTTGTGCAAATACCTACCATCTTCTTGTATAATCATGTCCAGTACAGGAGCATTTGAGGAGTTCCCTGCATTCACACCTGCATTGACATAATGCCTAGATACAACAACATTTGATGTTGATGGAGTACCGTAAGCGTCACATATGCATTCCTCAATGTATATCTCCAGCATCGACATGTCCTCCATCTGAACTATGCCCCACATATTTGTTATAGCTAGATCATCAATGAGGGGCATAAGCATGTACTTTCCCCCGTTCACGGGAAATTTCATTTTCAAACGTAAAGAACGGCTAGGATGAATCATTGTGGCTGCATGTATTTTTTGAAGGATCTCGAGCATGCAAGCACCACGAGAAACCATGACAAATGTGGTTGTACCACCTTCATGGCAGATTTGCCCAGCATCCTCATAATAGTTCCCTCCCCAATGACACACGATTGGAAAACTTGACAAATCCATATTCTAATAACAATTCATTGTCAAACTATCATGAGTAGACATCAATATACACAATTTATACACATTCAAATTTTCAATAGAAAAAACTACCAAAATTCAAATATATCGAAAAGTCAAAATTCACAAACAACTCACATTTCAATATGAAAATACCCATATTTAGCTACATTCAAATCTACCCAAATGCCCAAATGTCAAAATACACTTTAAAATTTACAATCAATTTAAAATCAAATTTCAACATTTCATACATATCCACATTTCACAACAACTCAATTCACAATCAATTCATAATCTAAAAAATCGAAAATTTTAACATTCAAAACCCTAAAATCAAAATGAGATGAAATGGAGTTTGATTTACCTACAAGAAAGAAGAAAGGATGTTGAAGATGAAGATGGAGGTTTGCCGGAGTGGGGTCGCCGGAGATGGAGGTTCGCCGGAGTTGGAAATGGCTCGGTCGTCATTCATCCTTCGTCCTTCCTCACTGTGGCTTGGGGGATTTGGGGATTGGGTTTACGTTACACAGTATTCTGTTTTGGGGCTGGCCGATAATTTTACTGGAAAGTCGCCCAACGGTTGGGCGACTTATAAGTCGCCAAACGGTTTGACGACTTATAAGTCACCCAACCGTTGAGCGACTTACCCCGACCATGGTTAACCCAACAGTATATTGGTAAATACTTTTAACCCAACCCTATTTTCGTAATTAATTAATTAATTAACATTAATACGAAAAAAAACTCCAAAAAAGAGTGTACACAACATGTACGGATTTGGGCGGGTACAAAAGGAAATATCCGTCCAAATATTCACTTTGTCAACAGATGGCATGTATATTGATTTTTCATAATCTTTTTCATCCAATTGATAGAACCATACTTATGTTATAAAAGATTTTATTACGGAGTAGTTCTTTTTAATTTTTTATAAATAATTATAGCTTTGTAAACACCACATTTTTGAATATATAAAAATTAAAATTGGAAAATAAAAAATGAATGGCAAGTGGAGGGGAAAGTGGATACTTTGTATTCCTTTTGTGTGCCAGTAAGTATTTGATTTGATCAAATCTTGTGGTATATTCTTTCGTTTCAAGCATTTTATAAGTTGTTGGAAAGCTCATTTTGAGTTCTAAAATTAATGTTCCGAATTCATTTACGATTTCACTCCGAACTCGTGTAGTATTTAAACTAAACATATCTTGCTCTATTTCGTTTTGCATTAAACTTAGCTAATGAGATTCCCCCAATAACAAGAAAAATGTTGGACTTGACTTCACTACTTCTTCCCAAACTTCAAGAAGTTATAACATACTAGTCAAAGTGTAGAAAATTTGAAGTTTTGGAGCCCGTTTGATCACCACTATTTTAGTTTGTAAGCCGACTTTGTTTTACCCAATACATAACTTTTGATTTCACGTGTTGAAATGTATAATTCAAAGTTTATTTCATGAGGTAACCATCTCGTAATATTTTGAAATCAACGTCTGAATACGAGTTGTAGAACTCAATAAAATCTTTACGAGAAAAAAAATGAGAGTTTTAACTAAACCTCACAACGATATGCATCAGGCCCGGCCCGGCCCATGTGCAACTGGTGCAAGTGCACAAGGCCTCCATCTTTGAGAGGGCCTCCAATTTTTATCAGCCCAGTAGTATACCTAGGCTCATTAGGTAAAAATTAGTGTATTTCAAATAGGCAGCCCAATTTGTTAGTAACCAGAAACAACGCTCATCATCCGACGTCGCTTAATCGCTTAAACGGTCATACAACTTCACTCTTCATCTGCGATATTTTGAAGACTTCAACACCTAGAGAATCGAAGTGACGCAACAGCACCAATTTTCGATGAGACGATTGACGATTCGAGCGGCTACAGAAATGTTGGATTTAAATGTTAAATATCTCGTATAATATAATCCGCTGGGCAGAACATTGCTAGCAGTACCTGCGATTTCCGGAATTTCCAAATTTTCATCTACTGATTTCCTCTTCTTCAATCTTCTTCAGCCGCCCATTTCTGACTTGCGTGGCTGCCATAGAGACCTACGAATTGTGAAGGCGATTACAACTAGCCAAGGCGGCCGCCGGCCAGATTCCAGAAGCGAGGTTGTTAGCGCCACAAGGGATAGGCTGGATAGCTACCGATAACTCGGCAAGGTAGCAAAAACTAATTAAAAGCCCTACCACTTGTTCAAGTTTTTTTGTTTCCACTTTTCCTTCAGTTGATTATACGATTATTGTTGACTTGTTAATTTTGAATTCTTCTACATGTTTTAAATTACTCCGGCAGAATTTAGAAATTCATAATGACTCCTAGAATCAGAAAATACTATCCAAGAGTTGTAGACAAAAGAACTGTTTTGATACTAGATTAATATGAAAAATTGAATTTCTAAGATTTATAGAATCAGAAAATACTATCCAGAAAATACAGGATATGAAAAATTGTAGACAAAAGAACTCAAGAGTTGATACTATCCAAAAAGTACCGTATATTGTTATAAAATTTGATATGTGGTACAAACTATAAGTTTTTATTTTACCATTAGCATTGTTTTGGTATTGAATAATGGGGCCTCTGATTTTATTTTGAACAGGGCCTTCAATTTGTCAAGGTCTGCCCTGATATGCATTCTAGTCCCACCCTAAAAATGAACATTTAAAATAGGCTAGGTGAACAAATAAAAGACCTGTTACTGCTGCATCTTTGCTGGTCTCCTTTGCTTAATTGCTCTTGGTGCGGTGGGAGGAGTGAGAGTGCGATGGAAATATACATTCCCAAGAATGCAAATGCCTACTTTTGGACTATTCCCAGACATGGGGTATCATATTCGGGGGTGATACACGGGGTGCATCATATTTGGAGTGAATGAATCCAAAAATAGGATTTCCGCTCTGACGCGTATATTGTACACTGTACAGTGATCACTGTACAATCGGTGGCAAAATTGTAATTTTTGTGAAAATCGCTGATTCTCCTAAATGAGCATTTATGCAACTTTGATGAGCATCAATCCTGTTCTTTTGAGTATTAGGAGCCTAACGGTGAGAATCAGTTTACTCTGCTTCAAACCTTATATATCACTTTTGGTTTATTATTTTTTCGTTTAGTACGATACATTTGAAATGTTCAACATTTTAAAATGAGCATACATAACTTACAAGTTAGTATCAAATAACTAAAAGGTTCGTTTGTGTGTGCTCATTATTTTTGGACGTTATACTCATTTGAGTTTAACATAAAACTCATTTCATTTAAAATGAGTATTAAGCAAATATCAAATGAGTATACATAAATTACAAAATGAGCAATCATAAAACTCATTCGAAATGTCTACTATGCTCATAATTTCATTTTGTATAAAAAAATGTGGCAGCCCATGTAGCAGGCCATTATTTAGTGGAGACCGAAAAATAGAGTGTGAAGAATAGGAATCGCTCGCAGGGGTAGAGCCGTCTCTGCGTCGGCTAAGAATCTCAGTCGTGACTCGTGAGTTGCACTTGGAAGCTTGGCTATCGGTGATCTGCCTACGTGAGTTGCACCAGACTTTCGATCTGCCGTCCTTCGTCGTCTTTGTTGGTGAGTTGCAGGACTGAATCGCAAATTGCAGGGCTGAATCACGGAAGTTTAATTACAAAAAAACCCAGCTGTACGGTGAGCACCGTACAGCCGGCCGTACGGTGTATTTTACCATCCACCCATGGGATGAAATAGCTTAATATTCGGACATTAGATTTGAAGTGAAAAATATAAAGCAAAATGTAAGATTTATGACTTTAGAGATTAACATTTCTTCCTAAATTCCCAATACCCACACAATGTGAAACCTAGAAAAGTAACCCCTACATTACTAAGAAACCTATAATGTGGAAAGGTAACCCATACATTACTAAAATGATTTTGATGTTCAAAAACATGGCTTAGGAAAAACTATGAAATAAGCCCCACCACTTTTAATAAAAGTCAATAGGATGTTTTTACTTCAACTATTTTCAGTCCCATATCAGATCAGACCAGACTTAAACAAACCCGATCAGACTTGACTTTTGTAGTTCTAAAATACACAGAGATTAAACATTTACCAGACCAGACCAGACCAGATGTAGTTCTAAAACACGTAACCAGAAATATTCTTTACTTTATTAACCCCTTTAATAAAAGTCAATAGGATGTTTTTACTTGGAATGTTTTCGGTCTCAGATCAAACTAGACCAGACTTAAACAGACCAGACTAGACTTTAACAGATCAGACTTGACTTCCGTAGTTATAAAATACACAGAGACTAGACATTTAACAGACCAGATCAGACGTTTCTCAGACCAGACATTACCTAAATCAGCTGTATTGGTTGATTCTACTGAAATTTTTGAAGCTGTGGCTGAAATGGTTGAATTGGCTGATTAATAGAGTAAAGAAAAGATTAATATGAAAAATAGCTAAAATGATCGTAACATCAATCAATACATTCAAAAAAGTAACTTCTTAAAGTTAGGTGTTTTGTGAAAAACATAATCCGCAAACAAGCTCTAAATCATTATTTAATCATTTATTTATGTATCATACATTATTCAGTTGCAATAGACTAGGTACTACTCTAATTGATTCGTATAGATAAAGTAGGGTACCTTAGAATTTATGATTTGTTAAACGGCAGCATAACAAATGTTTGGTAATTGGTGGGGCAGCGTGAGAGTGAGCAATGAGCTGGGGGCAGGGCATCCCAAGTCGGCTTCATTTTCGGTCATAGTGGTGACGCTGAGTTCTTTCCTAATTGCGGCGGCGATTGGGATTATGGTCATCATCTTCCGCCACAAGCTTAGCTACGTCTTCACCGGCGGTGAAACCATTGCCAATGCAGTGTCAGATTTGGCCCCTCTTTTGTCCGTCTCCATTCTCCTCAATGGCATTCAACCGGTTCTTTCTGGTGAGAATATTTATTTACTCTCCAGTCTCCATCCAATCTCTCGGATATGTATAGTTTTTAGTTATTTATATATGAAACTCATGTTTCAAAAATGAATGTCTTAAGAAACAATCTCTTGATCAGACTTGATTAAATTCGTTTATTCGTGCTTGGAATACGTAGGGGTGGCTGTAGGGTGTGGATGGCAAGCATTTGTGGCCTACGTTAACGTAGGATGCTACTATGTTGTCGGTATTCCCGTAGGTTCTGTCCTTGGTTTCAAATTCCAACTTGGAGCTAAGGTATAAATTCAATTCGAACAATTTAAATAAGATAGTAAAGTCATTAGGACTTGTTTTAAAATACTTATCGGCATCATTTGTGCGAATATATTTTGTAGGGAATTTGGCTGGGGATGCTTGGAGGAACAGCCATGCAGACCCTTATACTGTTGTGGGTCACTTTCCGCACTAACTGGGATAAAGAGGTTCAGATACATACGTGTCTACATATGATTACTAATTAAGTAATTACATATTGACATGGATTACTGACAAGGATTTTGATTGAGATATGTCAAATCCATTCAAAAAACAGTTTGAGATGAGCAATTTGACACAGAATTATCATGACTATATTAAAAATTACTTATAAAAACGTGACTAGTTATTAGAATAGTAATAAAATCATAATAACTTACTTATACTCAATTTTTATACTTAAGTTATTATGACATTACATAATTATAAATATTAGTTTAGGTAAATAAGTTTTATTTATATTTTTGAAAAAACCCTCAAAAGATTAGACTATTTTTTAGGTCAAATTAATTTACAAATTAAGTCATTTTTTCAAACTTTTATTCAGTTAATTAGGATTTCGATGTCTAATTATGCTAGATCTAATTTGGATTTTTCTCAATAGTTAACTAATGATTTCAAGCGTTTTCGAGCATTATGAAAATTAATTGAGATTTTGTGTAACATTATTTTTGTGTTCAGGTTGAAGTAGCGAGAAACCGGTTAAAAAAGTGGCAGGATAAGGGGGATTTGCTGAATGATTGACACGGAATTTACAAGTTGTAGGTGCCGTGATATTTATGTCGATTTTATATACACATGAAACATAATTGGGCTGTGCCTAGATCGTTGTATTGGCTTAAAGAAAATAAATAAAAAAAAAGGATGCAGTACGTGTTCATAACTACTCCGTATGTATAACATGGCAACATGTAGCGCTAGTCTCACTTTAATAAATCTGAATTTTCACTAAATGAGCATGGCATGATTTCTTCACCCATAGGGATGGATTCGGGCCGGGTCGGGCCCGGGCCGGGCCTAGGCCCGGTCGGGCCGCCGGTTCAAGAACAGTGGGCCCGGGACCGGCCCGAGGGTTGGACGGGTCCGGTTCGGGCCGGGCCACCCGCCCGGGTCACGGGTCGGGTCCGGTTCGGGCCGGGCAGGTAATTTTTTTTTTTATAATTTATTTTTTATATTTTATAGTTTATAGTTTTATACGAGTATTAAAAACAAACTTCAATTGCATTTATTTGAAATGAAATAGGAACTACATTTGAAAATTAAAACAAACTTTAACAGATAAACATTTTGAAATTTGAAAATTGTAATCAATCGGAACTTCCCGCACCCCCCGATCTTTTGGCTTTGTCACATGACTTCATATGCTTGATTGTCATCCCGAATCCGCCTGAAGCCCCCATAATACATTTTTTTTCGCACCATTTACAAATTTTGTACCACATCCCGGTCTTCGGGTCCTTCTGCTTATCAAAATTATACCGTATAATGGCATTTTGATTTTCCATCTTAACTTCTTGGAGAAGAGAATTAGAGAGTAGATATATAATATATTGGAGAATAAGAGAATTAGAGAGTAGAGAGTTAAGAATAGGATTTAGGAAGAATTGGAGAAGAGATATGAAAAAATGTTTAAGAGTAGGAGAATTTATAGGTTTTTTTACCCCCCACCCCCCCCACCCCCTACCAGCCAACCCCCCGGACCCCCCCTTTACCCCACCCAACGGCTATATAGCCGTTTGGGTTGTCCCCAACCCCACCCCCAAGGCCTCAACGGCTAGTAGCCAAAAATAAAAAAAAAAAGTTTTTTTTTAAAAAAATAGACCCGGACCCGGGCTCGGGCCCGACCCGGCCGGGCCGGGTCACAAAAATGCAGAACCGAGCCCGCCCCGCCCCTTCCCCCCCGGTTCGGGCCCAAACCCGGTCCCGGACCGCCCGACCGGGCCGGTTCCGGGCCCGCACAGTACCGGGCCGGGCCGGGTCACGGGCCGGGTCACGGGCCGGGTCACGGGCCGGGTGGCCTGAACTGAATCCATCCCTATTCACCCATATTGCTAATTATTATTCTGATATAGAGTTTTTTCTTAGAAAATATAGAGAATAATCTTGACAATTAGAAACACCTCCGAGTGGGTGATATTCTTAAATCCATTTCGGATAGTGTGGGTGAATCATATTCTATGTTTTCCATAATAAGCAAAAGTAGGAGATAAAGATGTTTTTACTTGGAATGTTTTCAATCACAGACTTAAACAGATCAGATCAGATCAGACGTAAACAGATCAGATCAAACCAAACGTGATCAGACTTAAGCAGACTAGATCAGGCTTGACTTTCGTAGTTACAAAATACACAGAGACCAAATGTTTACCATACCAGACCAGTTCTAATCAGATCAAACCAAACAAGACTTAAACAGACCAGATCAAATCAGATTTAAACAGATAAGATCAAACCAGATTTAAATAGACCAGAGCAGATCAGACCAGCAAATTATAGTCCAAGGAAAACCATTCATAATTTTTTTACATATTTTTCGTAATGTAAATGTGTAATTACTTAATTGGTAATCATATGATTCATGTGATAAGGGTCAGATAGGGTCTCGAACTTGGGAAAAAATGTCAAATAAGGCCATATTTAGGATGCTTTGTCCGGCCAACGCCATTTGGGACGATTCCCGGTGGAATTTTTTGATGATTTTTTTTAATCTTATTCATTAAGTCTAGTTTATTCATATCAAATTGGAACTAAGACATCAATCGAGAAGGCATTCAAATAAATTCTTGAAGAAAACTGCTCTTTTATAATTCCCACCTTATGATCACATAATATTTTGCAAAGATAAGAAAATAACTTGGAATAACAGGTCATAAATCGACCAGGGACCAGTGAATGAATATGTGGTGCAAAGGTTGGATTCTTCATGAATAATCAAAAGGTGAGACTATTGTAAGAAGACCGTTAAAAGGTTGGATTATTAGTTTCCATTTTCCCTTAATTTTTTTAGCAGGGTAGCATTCTTCAGTGACCAGAGGGGGCGGTGCTGAAAGGTGGCTGAGCCGCTGAGGTCAGCATATTTTTATTTATTTTTGACAGTTTTTAAAATTTCTTTATGTTTTATTATTATAAAAAATGTCTTTTTAAAGCATGACAAGAGCAAGGGTAAGATATGAACAGTTACACCTATTTTAAGAATTTAAGCTTTATGCCCTATTTTTGCAATTGAGCTTTTATTTACCTCTTTTTAGGGATTTATCCCTTAATATAAGTAAGAATCAATTAATGCAGCTCAGCCACCCTAATAATTGCCGATGATATTAGTGACATTGAAATTACTAATCTGAATCTTGTAGCGACTAATAACTCCTTAGCTAGTTAGGAACTGCAACTAGGACTGATGCATCAGCTAGGTTGGGAGCACTCTTTCACTAATGAACTAGTTTTGGAATTGGAACACGAGTAGTAATATAGGTTCATGTCATTTTTGCTTACTTATTTTTCCTTTAATAAATCAAATAATTATTAAAATTTTTCCTTAAATATTACTCGGGTAGCACTTACAGATAAAACTTTGCTTTAAAGTTTTTATGTGTAAATCATCATCACAATTGTTGTGGTGTAAAATTAAACAGTGATAATCACTAAAGTTACCATTATATTCACTAAAATATAAAAATTCCATTTTTATCCGGTCACTTTATATTAGTCATACATTCTATTTGGATTGTAGGTCATTAGGTTCGTTTGTAAATGAACTTAGCTAATTACCAAATTCAGGTATTGGGTTATTAGGTTGTTAATTGTTTTAATTTTATAATTGGGAAAAGGCTCACATATGGCCTTGAACTTACAAAAAAATGTTAAATAAGGCCTTATATAGAAGGTTCTGTTTGGCCGACGTCATTTGGGGTGGTTCACGGTAAAATTTTTAATTGAAACGTTTTGAGCATCTTATTCATTAAGTCTAGTTTACTCATACCAATTTTCAGCTAGAACTTCAATCAGGAAGGCATTCAAATAAATTCTTGAAGCTAGGTGCGCAGTTAAAAGCGCAGTTATCTTAAAAAATTTATTTAAATGCCTTCCCGATTGAAGTTTTAGCTGAAATTTGGTATGAGTAAACTAGACTTAATGTATAAGATGTTCACAAAAATGTGATCGAAAAATTCCACCGGGAACCACCCCAAATGGCATCGGCCGGACAGAACTTCCTATATAAGGCCTTATTTGACATTTTTTATAAGTTCGAGGCCCTATCTTACCCGTTTCTCTTTACAATTCATCTTAACAAATAAATAAAGGATGTTTTTACTTGGACTGTAATTTGCTTGTCTAGTCTGGTCTGTTTAAGTCTGGTCTGGTTTGTTCTGTTTAAGTCTGGTCAGGTAAACGTCTGGTCTCTGTATATTTTATGACCACTGAAGTCAATCCTGGTATGGTCTAATCTATTTAAGTCTGGTCTGGTCTGATCTGTTAATGTCTGGTCTCATTTGGTCTGGTCTTTTCAAGATCAGATCAGATCAGACCAGACCATACTGGACTAGATCAGACCAGATCAGATCAGACTTCCATAATTATAAAATACACAGAGACCAGACGTTTATCAGACCAGACTAGCTAAACCAATTAATACCAGACCAGATCAGACCATAACAAATTAGACCAGATCAGATCAACAAATTTCAAATCGAGAAGAAATCATCCTTATTAATGTATAGGTCTCCGATATTTAGGACCTGCGCTAACAATAGTATAGGAATTCGTACATTCAAACAGCAAAAGATGTCTTATACGGAGTACGAAATTACGTTGGTAGTAGTCCCTTAATTTCATCTTAATTAATAACTGATTTATTAAGTTAAAATGTTGTTATGATAAAAAAAAAGTTAAAATGTTGTTATGATTTACAATATTTTGTTTCATTTGTATTTTTGTATAAAATGGTCCGGTCCGTTCATTTAGATGGGAATTGCTCGAAAAGTTCCATATATGATATATCCCCAATTCCTTATTATGGAATGTTATATGCTATTGTTGGTCCAAAAGGTGGAATCTCCCACCCTAGGAGTCCCAATACCACGACCCGATAGGATTTTTGGGAGAATGTTAATCACGGTGACCCAGTCGACCCAATGATGGTAGACCTTATTCCCGTGCGCATCAGAGATCCAGCCCAGCACGTAGGAGCTGTAACCTCCACACGGCTGCTGCGGGTTTCGAATCTTGGTCACTTGGTCCAAATTTCCCATCACTGAACCAACTGAGCTATCCGTGCAGCTAATTATATGCTAGTGTTAACAATACATAATGTATGTATGAACGTACAGCTTGCAATGAGAAGCGCGGTAGAGACTAGAGACACTATGTGGACAAGCTTATGGAGCAAACAAGTATGAAATGCTTGGAATATATCTTCAATGGTCAACTATTCTTTTCATGTTGGCAGGACCAAATATTTCGGCCTAAATATTTGTACATGTATTTATGTACATTTATTTTTCATGTACATTCTTTGTAGGTACGTTGAGTTGTTTTGCTTTGGACTGTACTCTTTGGGAAGTGGAAGCGCAGACGTCACTACATGCACTGTATTTAGGCCGACGGCCTGTTGTTCTTTGCACCAAAAAAAAAAGAAAAGAAAAGGATTTGAAACACGTTGTTTTCCACTTCGTTTTTTCTCTTTATTTTCCGCTTCGTCTTTCTCTTTATGGTATCAGAGCCGACGACCTGGGCAGTCTGATTCACGAAAATTCAATCAACGATGGCTGGAGAAACAGGAAGCAGCAACCACGGCCATGAACGACGACGAATTAATGACCCATCTTGCCCATACTACTTATCAAGCTCGGATTTTCCGGGTTTGAATATTTCTGGACTCGTTCTCAAAGGAGAAAACAACTACCGGGAATGGGCTACATCCATGAAGAACGCTTTCCGTGCGAAACGAAAAATGGGGTTCCTAGACGGAACCATCAAA